TTTTAAGAAAACAAAACATAGAGGTCAACATGACAATCTAGTGAGTACTCTCTGTTTGACAGTGTGCCTCCCTCCCCAGCTCCCCTTTGAAAAATCCTGGCTAGGCCCCCAAATTTTTATTGGCTATGTAGTGGGCCTTATGGTTAGTGGGCTGGACTCTGAGTCCAGAAAATTGTCCGAAAGTATAGATGGCTACTGGACTGAATTATCAGAGCAGTCTGATGAAATTTTGGGGGGTAACCTTGAGATTGAGTTGTTTTTTTATCTAAGGGGGAGCAGTGATACTTTGAGTTGTTTCATGCAAGGAAGACCAGGAGAAGCTCTGGCTGGGTGGGTCACTTGTCTTGAGTTGTATAGCATAAAAACTCTAACTACCTACCTGTGTAACAGTTAAAGATTTGAACTGATTAAGCTTTTAAATTCTAGAATTTTTATTAAGTAAAGAAAATCTATAGTTATAATACCTCTTGAAGTGTTTATTTAGTACAGTTTTTGGGTCTCTGTTTCTGTTTCTGTGATATAAAAGGTGTCTGCCTAGTAGGCAGTCTGTGTGATAACAGTTTCACTAAAGTTCCATGTTATCTTCAGAGTATTGAGCAGGCTGAAGACATGAATGAGACACCAAGGGAAAGAAGCCATGTGGCTGAATATCAAAAAGAAATTCAAGATCTGAGAGGGCAAATTCAGAAATTACAGGAGGCTGGAAATGTCGGAGAATACTCTGGTAGGGAACACTTCGTTGACCAATCAAGATCATCTTCTCTTTGTGATTTTTTTCTGTTCCTTTAAGGCTTTGACAGCATTCAGTTATTTCATGACATTATATAAAGGTAACATTTTAACCAAAAAAATTGTTGCATTCTGTCATGGCATAGATTCCACTGAGCTCAGGCGAAAACTTGCCAGAATTGAAGAGGAGCATGCAGAGAAAATCAGAGAATCTAATGAAGAGGTATCGTTGAATTGACTAGAATATGATTAGATGTATTTGTACGCAAATGGTTAATAATGGTAATTGAAATGAGTGGAGTGCAATTTGGGCTGAAATCATACGTGTGATTTCAAAATTGAACGAGCGCGCAGCGCGAGTTCAATTTGAAATCACAAGT